TGAAAAGTAAAGGGTCCCGAATGTTCCCTGTTGTGTGTGTGTCCTGTGTGTGTGTGTGTGTGTGAGTGTGAGTGTGTAGTATGACAGGTCCTATTATTTTCGATGCAGCCCACCAGGGAATGCCCCATAGTTGCCCACAAGCTTCTGTTTCCACAATAGAACCTCCAATAGCAGACCCTGCCTGTACGTCCTGTCACTGCACAGCAACAGTACGTCACACAAGAACAAACACCACCACCAGTTTTTACAGGCCTGAATTACTCCAGAGTGAAGTAGCTGTCCTACAAACAGTTCTGAGGCTTCAGAGGAGACAGAGTATAATGAAACCAATTTTTCTGTGTAATGAAGTTGCATCATAACCCAAGTAAAACCCAAAGACTGTTTCATGTACTTTGTTGCAGGTTTCATGGCGACCTCAAATCCCACTGGAGTGTAAATAAAATGTTCAAGTAAAAAGATCAAGCCCGAGCTTTCACAAGCGGGATGACTCATAGCACATGTGTAGGCTTGTTATCTCCATCGTTTCTCCTCATTTGTGGTTAAGTCCTCTCCTCCTGTCGCCTTCGGGGCTGTGACTGGTTTCAGGCAGCGTTGCAATGACGCTCTATGGGTGGCGGGATGGGAAAGGGCCTCAGGTTCAATTGGCACAGGAAGAGGTGGCGTGTCGGAGGGAGTGCTGTAGCCTGGGTGTGACCTGTTTTGGCCCAAGGAGACGTAATTTCATGGTGTCCACTGGGAGCAGTGAGGGTGGTAGATGTGGGCTACTGTGACCTTCCAGTTGATGATTAACATGTGCCAAATAGCCAGACACACCAGTCATTTTCTTAGTTGGTTGACCTGGTGGCTTAGGAAATCAGACCAGTGCACAGCAAAGTTCCTTTCATAACAGCTAAATAATCTGTAATCTGCAGAATGCTGATGGTATTAAAAGGAAATCTACAAGAGGGGTATTAGCAAAAATGTTTTAGAATTCTTGGACCCAGGAAATGAAGCCACTACATAACACAACCTGACCTTAAAACTAAAATCTTGATTTCAGAAATTCAACTCAAACTTTCTTAAAACTACAATAACCATTGTTTAATTCAGCTCAATTCAGTGTCTTTTAAGACATGAATTCCTCCCCTCGACAGAACTAGAAAGGAAATATCAGGGGTTGTAACCATAAACTGCTGGAGATTGCATAGCTAGCAGGCTAACAACAGCTGTCCACAAGTTATAAATTACATAGCTTCTTATCAAACACTTCACTGTTCGGATTGTTGCTCTGAGAAATAATACAAATTCACAATATTTCCTGAATGGTTCGCCTGTACCTGCGGGTAGTGGTCACCAGTGCAGGAAGTGCCGGTGCTCCTGCCCTATAAAACCTAGAAATGTTGCATTACATACAAGTTCTGAACATAAAACTCTCGCAACTTGTTTCAAGAATTTTGTAGTTATTTGTAGTGATCTGCTTGAAGTCAAACTAGATTTTAATCCTAAATATGCTGTCTTTTCCAGAACCTACTTCTTTGCATGGGAGACTGTACCTTCTTTAACCAGTTCTACAACCGTACAGTCCCATTTTCAGGCCTTGTCAGCTGCATCAGAAAAGCAGATTGAATATCTTACTAAAGAAATAATCTAATACAAATGGTGCTTGACAATATTATTTATAAGATATTATGACTTTCTTGAACGACTCATTTTGCAGTGTACGTTCTTTTTTCTGAAAACACTATGATCAGACATCTTGAATGCATTTTATATTACTCATTTCTTCCATATTGTCAAGTACGTGAGCTACAGGGAAATGACAAGTAGTCATCCATATGCTATAAATTCAAGTCCTTCAGATTTCTGTCAGTCTTTAAAGTTCAGTAAGCTCAGTTCTGGATGCTTTATCCCCGACTGCTATTAAAGGTCAACCAGTGGGCCTATTGCCTAAAACATTTTCCTCCAATTTCACACAATATCTGGTTGCACAAGGTGCAAGGATTCCTGTTGAGATTATAATTTCTCACACTAAGAGGGAGATGAGGCTGTTCTGGTTAACACAGTAAGCTCTCTCGTTCCTCATCTGGACATCCTTTCAGTAAGCCAGTTCATCTGTGACTCTTTCTGTCTCCCAGCATACACACAACACCCCTCCATGGTCCAGATAACGAAAGACATTAGTCCTCCTCTACCCTCACATTACAGAGACCAGCCTCTCCTCTGATACACGCAATCACCAGATGTTGCCCAGAGCTTTAGTGAAGAACCCCCAGGTATGTGTGTGTGTGTGTGTTTGTCTGTGTGTGTGTTCATGTCAGCCTCCCCACAATTGGCTTTTCTTGTGCATCTGCCGAGATTTATGACCACAGTTTTTCCTACAACAGAGTCTGCTTCCTCTTTTGAAATCCCAGTGGGGCAGCAGATCAGGGATCAGAAGGAGAAGCAGGTTCTTCAACCCAAAACAGGTGACTCCGACTCAGGCCTAACTGGGCTGAAAAGAGGGTAAAAAAAAATGATTTCCCAAATCCCTTGACACCAGCATTTTTATCTACTGGCGGTTCACACGAACCCCATCTGCTTCTCATATCAACACTTGCACTTGCCAGCACAGGGGTCTACTGGTCTGGCCTGCAGGGGTCAGGAGGACAAAGCGGAGTAATGAAATCAAACTGGCCAAATGACAGAGTCTGCTGCTGATCACTGGAAATCGCTGAAGGTTTTCATTATGGAGTATTATGATGGCGGGAATGCAAAAGGGGGATATTAAAGACTCGGTAGAGCTCTTTCAGTGTGAGTAATGGTCGGACAGAGCACAGCCAAAGACAACTTTACAGTTCCCTCGGGCCTCAAAGTGTTAAGGGCGCAAGCTGATACAGCAGAGGACCCACTAGGTAACATGCTGCATTGTGTATCATGCAAGGATAAAATCTATTGTGTTTGGATGGCTTTACATTACCTCTATGGGTACGTCCACTGGATTTATGTCTGTGATGTCGGTTTTGCAGAGATGACGTTACTGTACACGAGAATATCCTGTCCATACTTTTACACAAATCACATTAAGTATAGCTACAGAATGAACATTTTACTGTCTATAAAAGCTAACGTTTCTCCACAGTATATAGTATCATAGTATATAGTTCTGACCGGTATTTCTAAACCTGGAGAGGACTGTATTCTTCCTGCACTATGTAACCCTATAAGTCCCAGTGAAAGGCCAGTGTCCCATCCACTGTTTAAGTGAGGCTTGCACACAAACGAATTGGTCTATCTCACTGTCAATCAACATGTCAATGATGCAAGTAAAATGATCTCTCATGTTTGCATTTAACTCCCCCTTGTGTATTATTATTATAACAAACATGTGAGCATCAAAGTTTGGTTGTTGTCGATAGTTGCCTCTGTTATTTATTGGTTATGAAGCTCTTGTAAATAATTCACATGCTAGGAGACCCTTATAAAGTCAGGAAGATCAGTGACATGGTTCGATTTGAGTAAAAACCTGAGTAAAAGTTATTTTGAGTTTGTCCTCAAGACAGCATGGGGCTCAGAAGCTTGTGTTATGACCCATGATAAAAACTCTTTGTGTGACCAAGGCGAAAGCTCAGACGCTTTTCAAAATCCTCTGACTGTAAAGGCACACTGGACCAAACAGAGGATCATTTTTCTACATTTGCTCGATTGACACTCATTTAAAGGTAATATTGGAGGGGCTGGACTGTGGCCCAGCAGGGATGTTCAAATGGAGTTACTTCAGAGACGGTACTTTTTAAACTCCCTCTCGAGGTATTATTGAGGGTTGAAGCTTCTCTCTGTACTCTCACAGTCTGGGCAAAGTTCCACAGTTTGGTCTTCTCTCCCTACTCACCTTAATTTTACCCTTATCCCCAAAGGTGATGTATAGACAAGTGGATGTCTTTATCCCTGATGCATATGCTTTTTAGTATATTTCCACTCTTACAAGACGGATTCTTTCAAAGGCCTCTCACTTCCTCAGGATAAAGACAGATTTGGCAGGAGCTCTGTGATGCAATGCCAGCACCGGCAAATTCTAAAACACGCTTTTCCCCCCAGAACTGAACATCATAAATTTGACTATTGTCTTTATTAACATCCAAGTCATCAGAGAATATTATTAGAAGTTAAGCCAACTCAAGGCAAAAACCTCCTGAGCCAGCCGTTATGGTGACCTGTCATGATTGGAGATTAAAGAACAGAGAGACAAGGAGGATGTGTTTATTTCATACTTTTTTACTGCCACTTCAGCAAATGTGGGAGCCACATTTTCCATCACGTTATGAGAGGTATACTCAGAAAGTCATTTTTTTTTTTTAAACTTTAAACTTTATTTTATTTTTAGCTGTTAAAGGCATGAAGGGTCTGGTAACCAGATGACTGAAAGTTTTGTTTAATGTCTTCTTAGTTCAACTAAATACATGTATATCTGAAAGACACTAGTCACATTTATAATCATGATGGAAAAAGAAAAGTTCAAATATGTTTCATTTTGAATTCTTAAACCAGTAATATCATATCTTAACAACTGCAGTATAGTAGGCAGAAATAAGATGTTCATTACTTGACTTCAATCATGCATCTCATTTTGCTGCTGTGTTATCAAGTACAGAAACCATTTGTGAATGTTAAAGCAGCACAATCAAGGGAAATTATTGTTACAAGAATTTGAAACTACCCTCAATTTATTCACTGAAAAAAAGTTTATATTGTATGTACAGAGAACAGCAGAAACAGTTCTTAATGATACACGGTTGTAAAAAGGAAAATTGCACTGTGCTTACATATTAGTCATTTTTTACCACCATAGTACCATATTGTGGATAATAAAACACAATGAGGGATGGTCATAAAAACACAATGAAACAATAACAATATATTTCTCATTTCTCCCAGGATAAAAAAAAATCCCCCGAAACAATAGCTTTATGGGAAGAATCCGCGTGTCACAGGGGTGGCGCACAAACATTAATTACACAACACAAATAATAAACGTGCATTATGGGATATTATCAAATTTGCATATGATAAAAAAAAACTTGTTAGATATTGCAGGCACTTGAACCCGTCCCCATGGAAGCATCAGTTAAAACAGCTGCTGTGTCAGAGCTTAACCCCCTCACCCTCACACACACACACACAGTCACTTTCCCCCATACAAATCAGACCCAGTTTAATTCTGCTCCAGAGTAAAACAAACAGCCATGTGAAACTGACAGACAGATGAAGAAGATAAATGAAGAGGAAAAAGAGACAGCAAAAGTGAGCGCAGGCTTGTTGGTAACCTCCTGTTTGTACTGCCGACTCAGAGGAATAGTTGTGATTACTCCATTGACTGAATCATCTGCAAGGTCAGGCCTCCCATCTTTTCTCCCTCCTACTCCTCTGCTCTTCTCCTTCTCAGCAGCCAAGTGGTTCATATGGCTGCCAAGACATATTCATAGACATATTGGAGCATCCAGTTACTGGCAGCCTTCACAGACACTTAAACACATGTCCACCTACACACACATACACACACACTGAAACATTGGCAGATAAACAAACATACTAGTGCTGTATTTTACATACCCTTGTATGTGTGAGAACACAAATTATTTCATGAACTTGTGAGGGCCACAGAACCTGAGCCCCAATAAACCTATAGATCCTACTCTAACCACTGCATGCCTAATGGAAACCTTAATTCTCTTTCTAGTCTCAATCATAAAGGTTTATGATTGTGTTTAGAGTCACAAATGAATTCAAATGTTTAATAATAGGACACAGACAATCATTCTTTCTGTATGAGCAACAGCTTGTTCATGACAATGGATAATTATGTGTTTGCACATGAAGGTTTAATTTAAACAACTACTAAAAACTGTGTCTTGCAAATATGGCAGTGCAGTTCCTGCACCATTTCTAAAAAGCAGAGCATTTACATGCACTTACAGTAAGTAATCAGGAAACAGTTGGTGGTGATTTCATAAACATCATGTAAACCCGAAACCTGGTTTCCATAATCGGGGTGGGGGATTACAGAAACCAGACAGATTGCTCCTGGTGAACGCGATTCTATGGCCATGTATATTTGTACCTTGGTTTCTAATCAGCATTTTACATTTGCATGGCAAAGACTTCAGACAGGGAAAGTAGTGCTGCTCCTTTACAGAAGGAAAGATCATTACATAAAACAATGCAAGTCTGACTAAAACTGAAACTGACACTGACACAAAGTAGCTTTTAGAAGTCTAAATGAGACGGGTTGTCTTGTTTAAAGTTAAAGTTAAAATAAATAGTTAATGCTAATGGGCTAGGACAGAAATCTGACCTGCTGCACAGGTACACAGATTTACTGTAACCAGGTTACTACAGTAACTGTTATCTCTAACCTGGTTTCTTGAGTGCATGTAAATGTATCAAAGGGCAAAATGGCCCCTAAAATCTGGTCCAATAAACAGTAAGTCAGTGTAATTTCTTAACTTTTTCTTATCAATTAAGTAATTTGGACCTCATTATAACTGCCTCGATATGACAACTAAAGCTCAAAATTCTGGCTCTTGTTCTTACAAGGATGGAAATACAGGAACACAGAAATACACACACAAAGACACAAATACACAGAGGGCCATACATATAGACTCTGACACACACTTTGAAAAATGCACCACTAATTATCGATTGAACAACTGGAAAGCTCCCAACTGGTTTTCTAGCAATGGACATAATCATGAAAGGAAAACAAAATCAGCTCTATTGTATCGGGCTGATGGATACGCAGTCCCACACTGAGGCCACCCACTGCAGAGCCGATGTGGCTTCCAATGTAACCACCCTGATGAAATATTCAGCGAGGAACAACTCAGACACCTAGGGGCCAACAGTCTTCGGTTACAGCCAAATCATTCTAGGCAAGGCCGGGGCCAGAGCCACGCCGACAAGGTCGCTGTTTCTTCCTTCTCGTCATACATGACAACAGACACACACACACAAAGGGGCCCCATTCATTTTTAATGAGGAACAATAATTAATAACCCAGACCTGACCCCATTTATACAGCTGGATTTCCCGGGTGGGTGGGACAGGGTAGGAATAAAGGAAATCTAAAGCTGTTTTCCTCCAGTGAGAGTGCCGTATGGTGAGGGTGACAATGTGAAGGGAAAAAAAGGGAGATAAAGCGGCCACCAGAGGAAGAGAGAATTCAGGATTATCATACTGATTACAAGAGGGGCTTGGAAGGAGGATACACACTCAGTATCTGAAACCAAAAAGGACATTTCTCTGAGCTGAGGAGGGGGTGAGCGGTCAAGCTCTGACTCCACAGTTCACACAAACTGCTTAACCTCCACACTCTGTCACCACTCGCCCACTCCTGCCAGCACTCACACACACATACGTTCACACAAACTTCACACACAGAAACGCGGAAGTGCTCAACAAAGTCCGCATGAACAGCAGAAATAAGCCTCATTCACACAAGCGTGGTATTGACTGAGATCCCCGCCAGTGCCGAGTGGTACAAAAGAAATTGCCTGGGCCGTGCCTTGTGCTTGCTGTTATGATGTTTAGGTCAGACTGCTGTCACATGTGGCGATGCAGTGATGGCTCAAACCTTGCCTTCTGCTGTGATGTCTGCCTCTACTGAATGTGTCAGATGGATGGGTCAAAGCGGCACATCATGAGCCAAAAGAAATGGGGCTGTTCCTAAAAAAGGTGAACAATTGAAGGACAAGAAGGCACTTATACACATAGTTAGATGATCATGATGCTGGATAGAAAAAGATCTGGAATCATTTCTTTTTGTGACAACAAACAGATAATGGTTCATATCATTAGAAAATCTTTTTTTAAATATTAACATTTTCTTTCAGCAGTCCAATAAAAATCTTTGTATCTCAGCTTTTTATAAAAACAGACTCATTGCCCTCTTTGTGTTTTTCCCAGTTAATGCATCTTAATCAGTCCTACTCTCTCAAACATTTACAGTTCCTTGCTACAGTCTCAGGAGTAAAACAGCCTCCCTTTCTCTGAACCCTGAAGTCTGCTGAGCTTGGCAAGCTGAGAAGGCGACGGGGGTACGTCTTGTCTGTAGGGGCCCTTGGACTGAGGCGGGGCCTGCACCGGGGCAGAGACTGGGGCTTGAGTGTGGTCTCTGTTGTGGTCGTAGGTGCTGCCGCTGGGGGTTTCCTGTGCAGGAGGTGGCCTGGCTTTGCTGGCCTCCTGCTCTCTGCGTCTCTGCTCCTGCCTCAGCAACTCCTGAGTCTCTAGGAGGACACGGGCGTTGAAGCTGGACGTTCCCAGGTAGCCGTTTCGTGATCCCTGGCCACCAGAGTAGCGGGGGTTCTCCTTGGATGTCTGGAATCCCTCTGCGGGCATGTACGCCTTGTCCCATGAGTCCTGGGACACCGTGCTGGGGTTCTTGCGAGGTTGCCTAACAGACAAAGACAGGTAAAGAGGTCAATCGAGCTGTTGAGTGAGTCACCTTAAACACCAGCTGAATCTAAAGGGAACAGAGGATGATAGCGGGCAACTGTTCAGAAAAGGTAGCTTTTTTTGCAGTGGCCCCTGGGTCAGCACTATTGAAGGGAAATTCAAAAGGAACTGCACTTCAGCAGAGATTGTGGCCATTTTCACATTTTGTGAGATTAAAATGGGAATGTGCTAGTGGAGTTGATTTAAAATACTAAAACATGAGTGGAGCAAAGAGGTATCTTTTATAGGCTGCTGACTACACTGAATCCTGTGACATAAAGACTGAGACAGGAAACAAACGGGGGAACCCTGAAATGCCCATGGGACTATTAGTTCCACATTGTAAACAAACACAAATGTTAAAACCTCCCTAAGAAAAATGGCTGCGTTCGTCCATTTAACTCCTTTTTGGAGATGCAGACGGGTGCACTTACAGCACAGACAGAGTAATGGCGGGCCTCACGGCGCTATATGCCTTCTACTCATCTTCAGCCCGCCTGCCAGCCCCCCTGACAGGACGGCCCAAAATGCATACACATATTATCTCTCATACAGTAAAACTAACACACATGCTCCCCTTTCCAGAAATTGGCCCTGGAAAGCCGTCATTGGGAACTGCCAGGTTTTTGGCTAAAGTGTTGAGTCTTCTCCTCCATTATTAGGATCCATTAAGGCCGGTGTGCGATGGAAGACCTTGACAGTGTCTTTAGCGTTAGGGGTGCTAAGAGAAATCCCATTCACACCTCACTGACCCGCTGTGCGCTTAAAAGGCTGCAAGGGAGACAGGGGCCCAGCATGCTTTTAGACCAAAACGACTGCATTTCTTATCTGGCCGAGTCTCATTCCAGAGAGGCTGAGAAGAACAAAAGACAGAATATGCTATTTATTGTTCAAACACTTTCTGACAAAATATTTAGCTTTTATTTTTTAACTGAAACCTTACAACATGTTAAATGGGTATTGTACATGGAGGGCATCACAATAAATTCTACCTTGAACCTTAATATCTTATTTTATATGTACTGCATGTTGCTTGAGAGGAAAAAAATGACTTAGGGGGGTAAGCAACCTTAGGCACACAGTTGATTAACCACTTGCAGGCTAACAATAAGTGTGCATTTTTTGCAAATGTTAAAGTGCCCTCTTATCCACATGCCAATTGAACTATTTCTTATCCACTGGTAGCATCCTGTCTTATATAAGCACATCATATGATTTCTCGTACATGATTTAAACTCAGATGTGGATATTTCCGCGCGTATGGCTCTCATACAGTATATTACAGCAATTATCCTAATTATGGGAGAAAAATGCTTCAAAATTGTTTTACTATGCACGTTCCCTTTATGGATGGAATAGATAAAATTACAGACTCGCTGGAGATTAAAATTTTTATGTTGTGTCATAATAAACCTAATAATCTTAAGGTTGATATGGCAAACTGATTTAATATAACATTTTAATATAGCAATTAATTTCAAAAAGGTTCCCGGCCCCTGATGATAAATTTGAGCCAAAAGTAAGGGGCTACTGAAGCTATAGTGATAGCATTTGGTGGATGCAAAACTGTGATTGGCTGCTTGTGTTTCCAACGACATCTTCCTGATGGTGGTCTTTGAAAGGGAAGTTTAAACTGTAGTGAAATATGTGGATATGACTATGCATGCGGCTCACGGTAAACCTAGCAAAATCATCTCCACTGCAAACCTTATGCTATACTACATGTGAATGTAAACACGCTGATTGTACCACAGTGGTCTCCTATTCAGTTATGAGTCAAACCAAAATAATGTCTCCCATTTACTCCTTGAATCAGGCATTCATTTCCAGCAATGCAATTTTCAAGAAAATAGCAAAACATATAAATGACAATCATCTTTCTTCCAACCATTTAATTCAACTCTCTCTTGTTAAACAATATTTTCCTATCATCATTTCTATGTAATTCTAATGAGAATCCCACAATTACAGCAATGGATGCATTCATGGTCCACAATTTCTAAGGGAAGGAGAAGAGCTGGCACTGTGATTTGAGGATCTGTGCCTTTGTGAGCTTAGGTCTACATTTATACATACGTGGGAAATTGTGCATGCAATTATGTACCATGCATGTGCAACACAAACACATGATCTTGTTCCACTCTGTGTATACATGTGTGTACATGAATGTAGAGCATGTGTAAGTATGAGGGTAATTGGCGGAGGGGCAGATGTAGGGACAGACTGTAGAGAGAGCCCCACCACATGCTTCATATCTGGGTTTCACTGTCTGGGCGAGCCGCCATGCATTTACACCCCGGCTTGGCTTTCAGAGCAGCCAGCACTGCTCATGAGGGAGCCGCCTATTTAGAAACCCGGGACGCCTGTTGCACGAGGCAGCGATCTGCGTTTCCAGAACAACCTTTTAGTTTTTAAAGTAGATAGGACAAGAAGGGAGATTTAGGGGGAAAGTCTTTGGTGGCGATGAGAAGAGAGCAGAAATGGCATTGTTCCACAGGAATGCAATCCTGATTGATGCGTCAGGGGAGCTAGTTCTCTTATCACCTCTACTCCTGCGCCAGAATATGTCACAAAGTAGATTAGTTACATTTACAAAGGGAGGGGATGGGAAAATACATCATGCCAAAGAGTGGGGTAAATTTAGAATGACAGAACATAACAAACAAAGCCAGGAAGTTGGCTCGCAGAGACATTTGTGGCCGCTGTGTGTTTCTTTAAAACAGCTGGGAAGAATCAGAGTTTATGAGAAGGAGGAGAAAGCACACATACACATGCACAGACACAAAATAATTAGGGAAAAAAACCAAATGCATTCAATGGGCAGTGGAACAATCGTTGCTATATTGTAGAAATAAATTGTCTACAAACTTGGAATAATGTTTTCTTTATAGCAGGGAACAATGTTTTTTTGGCTGAGGAATGCAAGAGCTGCATGGGTGGATGGTAGAGCTACTGGCTGCTCACTTAGACCTCCGTTAAGAGCCTTATCTTGACTGTGCTCATGTGTATGTTTGTGTGTCTTTTTGTGTGTGATTGCATTTCTTTCAGGCTAATCAGTGGTCTCTCTTACTCCTACTAACACACTGGTTCCTCTCCCGGCCCCTCTCGCCCTCCACTGCCTGTCACCGCTAATCCTGCTCCGACAACAAGCCTTCATTAGTGCTCTTCCAATCCTTACATCCCAGACAGCGAGCTAAGCCTGGCCGTCATCAGATAACCAGCTACCATGGCTTCTTCTGGAAGCTCTTTGGGAAGGAGGGTTTTTTTTTTGTGAGGGAATGTCCCCTTTCGGCTGTACGGCTGACTGCTCAGGCTTCCTGTTTTGGAAGAGAAGGACAGGATGAAGGAGTTCCAGAAGAGAGGTGGTTGGAGTTACAGGGAATTGTGGTTATTAATCTGAGGATGTAGGACTTTAGCTCTTTAATGAGGAGCCATGCCGAGACACAAGCTCTGGAAAGCCTTAGCTGGGGTCAAACGTCAAGTCTGAGCTCATGCGACTCTTTGCTAAAAGACGCTATGAGATTATGAGAGGAATGCATATCAAAGGCCATCCTCGCTTGGCTTTTTGGCCAGCCAGACAAACTTTCCCAAGAGAAGTAGCTCAATGAGAGGGGAGGGCTGGAGGCAACTGTCACATCACATGAGATGCCAGCAGATAACACCTATGAAGGGAATACACAGATCGGTCTGGCTTATACAGGCCACATTGATTATGTGTCCATGTGGACCGCAAATCCATGGCCATAGACAGAAACATATTTTAATCGACCTGACTGTGACTGTTCAGAGACAGCAGAGCAAAAGAGAATGCTATGATTCAAATGATTGCTGTTTGTGTAGGGAGAGATTGAAATCACAGGAGAGCAGAGTTATTCTGGCCAAAAAATTAAAAGACCACACACACACACATACACACACACTTTAAGTGTTCTGTCTTTGTTTAAACTGGCAGAGTAACAAACTTAAAAAAAACAGACTTCACTTGCAACACAGTATAGAATTTGTATCTTTGGTGACTTTCTCTTTAAGGATGTTTAAGGATGTAAGGATTAAAATGTGGAGATTTTCCACTAGCAGAGCTTCAGAGGCTTGGTAGAGACACAGATACACACACCTCCATCCAACGGCTCAAGATGTAAGATACGGTAAGCTTTATTGGCATCTCTTTGACAAATATGCAAAGAAATCGAAACAGGAAGATGGAGAAGATGAAGAGCAGCGGTTGTAGCTCTGAACTCATGATCTGTAAGGCGAGAGATTGCCAATAGAAAATTCCTTTTAAATACGATATTGGAGCTGTTATTCATTATGAGGGAAGTGTTGGGGATGGGGGGTTGTGACAAAGTCCCCACTTCCTCAGGGTCAACATTGACTTAATGAAGTTGAATATCAGTCAAATAATTCCAAGTGATCACATTAAATGATTTCATTCAAAGAGTTTTAAGAATCATTTAAAGTGGCTTTGTGGTGATTGACTTCATAGCCAAAGTGACACGCTATAAAAAGTGTAGAGAAGAAAGGGTGAAGGCACAAATACGAGGAAAGGAAATGGATGGAAATCAAAAAAGTCAAATGAAGAGGTCACAGAGAAGGGAGGGAGAGAGGGACACAGAGACAGACAAAAAGACAGACAGACAGACAGAATTGATTAGATTGAATAAAGGGAGAGGATGTCTCACCGTGGCAGGGAGCTGTACTGTCTTTGTGCTTGCTGGAAACCGTCTCTGTCCTCTTGCTGCTGTTTCTGGACCTGAGAATCGACTGTTACTGAATGGCGTCCGCTCTGTGTCTCCGTCCCATTGCTCACCTGTAACATCCACAGATTCACAAGTCAAGATACAAGCAGTTAAGGCACAGCAACATAGAAACTAAACATTTTTGTCTTTGGGTTACTAAACACACTCACACACTCACACACACACCTACACACACAGACACAGATGATGGAATATTTTTCCCTCAGCACAGCAGGTGGTTTGACAGTGGGTGTCAGGCTACCTTCAGGGAACAGGTGTGATTCTATGATGACAGTTCATTGAAAAACGCACCTGTGCTAGTGGATGTAAAGTCCCCTGATAATATTGTTAAAGGAATAATTCAGCAAGATACGATCTTTCTATCAATTACATATTTCTTGGTTTACCACACTGCTAGACAGCACAGATTGCAAGATTCTTAATGGAGAATGAGGCCTCAAAGTGATCAGATCAAAGATACATTTTAAAAACAGCAAAGTCAACTAACTAAACTAAACTTTAGCCGTACTTATTATACCATAAATACTTCATAATAATTCAAAATGGCTGAAAGCACCTTTCCAATGCACTTTACATCAGTGACTTTGTTTGGGCCTTTAGTCTTGGATTTTCTGTTAGCTCCAGCATCCAGCTGATGGAGCTCTTTTTTGTCTGCTCGGCCATAGTGGCTATCAGTGCTTATGCTAACTAATCTCTTTTGGTTTACTTTTACTAAACAGGCAAAGTGCTTTTTATATGATATACACTTATACATAATATGATAATCTTTTACTAAACTGCTGTGTACGCTGTGTGTTTCTGAACAAAGTAAGCACCACTATGCTTCATTTCACATATTTGCGTGTGACTTGACTACACACCACTAACCTGTACCAGTGTGTATGTGTGTTTGTTGTCTGATCATTGGAGGGGTTGACATGGAGATATCATCTCCCTCAACGCTAGCGCGCTGCTAACGAGCTGGCTGATGAAAGAACATGACAAGCCAATTAAACAGAGGCGAGCTGAGGAGGTGTAGCGAGCGTGGCTTGACCAAGTGTCAGTTTTCATGAGGCTTGGAAGCTAATGTGGTAGGCAGGTGGGAGTGTGGACGTGTTGTGTGCATAGATAAATATTAAGCAACCCTTTTCACTATTTTACCAGCAGCTGAGTTTTAAAACTGAACAGAACCGCCAAAGAATCTGCGTTTAATAGCTTGGAAAGAGATTTTCTTAAATTTGGTGGTATGGGTAGGGGGTAATAATACATGATGGAATGGATTGATGGGGTAAAGGTATGATGGCAGATGACAGATGGAAAGGCTGTCAGCAAAAATGTCTTCTTGGAAACATCTTGTGTTCTTGAAATGGCTGCTTTCCTCCTCAAATTGGACAGCTGCAATAACAGCGCAATTACATTTCACTCAGCGTCAATAACAAGTCCTTTCTCAAGCCTTCCAAGTCCTGAAAACATAATAGTATTTCACGTGGGTGAAGTGAATTTGACTCATATGTTTCAGATTTTGCTGTAACAACACGTTTTACCGTTTCAGAAAGTGTAGAGCACATAAACGAATATCAGATGAACAGCAAGGGAAAAGGAGAAATTATTTTACTGGGGCCAAATGCGGTTGTGAGAAAATAATTAGTCACGCACACTGAGGGTTTTTAATGTGATTTGAAAGGAAGTGGTGAGGAATCTGGAGGTGTTTGCCGCTTCGGTTTCAAACTGAAGGGTTGAGGTGGATGACGCCATGCCAAGAGAAATGCATGAGAAATAGCCAGGAGAGAAAATCAGTCAGTGTAATGGCATTATCCAGGGAAGGAGAATCAGATTATTCCATGTTAGGCCTGGAATACAATGCCATATAAAACATGACATTTGTTGAAATCGAATCAAAGAGACGTCCCTGTTCGTTTTTATCCAATAATGTGAAAAATGATGTCAATACGGCACACTTTTATCTCTCCCTTGTTTCCTTGGTGGTGTCACAGAGAATGAAGAAGAAAATAATTCTCCACCTGTTTAAACACAAGAGCGTTCACAGACGGTGAGCTGAGGGGGGACATAATTATGAAAAGTATTTGCAGCTATCAAAAATCCAGGACCAGGAAAGCAGCTGGGAAGTTGAGATTTAAAAGTTCAAATAAAGACAGCCAAGGTGTAATATTTCTTGGTTCAGAGCTGGTCACAGACCTTTCAGATATCAAAGCAGGTTGCTGTGATGGGTCAGCCCTAACATATGGCTTTACCGCCCATGCTCCTTATGATGCTATGTTTGTAGCCCACCACATAGGGAACCGTTTTAAGAGAGCAGCCGTGCTGTACACAAACACACATATGGAAGGCATTTAAGTTGCTAATGGGCAGACAGACCTGACAAAAGCCCAGTTGGATAATGATTCTCTCTTAAAGCCCTCGCACGATCCAATTCCGCCAATTTATTATAAGTTAGCCCAGTCCATTTGCGGTTGCTGGAGTGTGTAGCTCCGGGGGCGGAGTATCCATCTGACAGCAAGCAGTGTGGTCTGCCATTTCCTGGTCCCTGCACCAGGAAACCATGGTGAATGGGAGGTTGGTTTGGTTATCTCCACATCACTTAAGGACTCCGCAGCACGCACAAATGGAAGAACAAATTGTCTCATGTTTATTGTGAAGATATCTGTGGATGAATGTGTGGGTAATAGTCTTAAGATATATAATAATGTCTACATAAGAGAAGTGAAATTGCTTTGTTTTCCTCTCACACAGACACACACAGTTTGGTAAGTAAATTGAGCTCAATAAAAAAGCTGGGTGTGAAGGCATGTTGCATACATCTGTGCACATGCATGCTTGTGAGTGCAGATGTGTCTGGAACAGCACAAAAATATTGTATTTGCTATAAAAAAATACATTTCACACTCCCAACAAGCTAAATAACTTCATGATTGTGAGGTGCAGCTCAAATATGTTGGCAAGTCCTATTATTTACGGCGACTGTAATCATGAGATCAGTCCATGCTTGCTACTTGCATATCATTGCACAGCCCTATCCATAAATCACCCATGCAGCCTTGACAGTTAGCATTAGTATAGTTGAGCAAACTGAGAAGAAACTTGACAAAAGATCGATTTAAATCGTCATAATCGACCAGATGTGGCTGAAAAATACAGTAATGTTAAGTTATTTTTAGTGATAGTAGCAAGAGGACCATGAGTCCAAGTCACATCTTGAAGAAAGAGAATCCTCTCAGCACGAAAAAAGCACAAATATAATCAAGAGTGGCTAAAGGATTTGGCTGCTGCTTTCTAAAGTATGTTCTGCTCCTCTTCTACAGGGTCTGTGAGGTCAAACTGTGAAAAACACCTAGGAGTCAGCTGGCTTACCTATAATCAGTTGTATTATTCCAAGACATTTACTACACAACAATGTGTGATGTTGTGATGATTGATGATAATGATTCTTGTTGCAAATACATGCAATTATGGACTAAAACTTTTTTTTTTTAATGAGCATATTGTGTGAATGGTTTTAGTCAGGGGCTCACACACTGTCATGAGCTATGCTGTCTTAACTCTAACCCTTAGCCTCTGGGAAGTCAAGTGACTGCAGCTAAAAGTGGCTTATGAGTTATTATCCCCACATGATCACATAGGAAAGAGTTAGCTGTACACAAACGCCCAACGACATGAAAGCACCATACTTAGAGTAACCTAAGTTTGCATAAATACAACAAATGCTTGTAGACACATGTATCCTGGTAGCAGGAGATAGAGCGATAATAAAATCAAAAGAATTCACATAAATATGGGCTTTACAAGCTGCTGTTGTGTGTTTGATCCAAGGTACCAGCATGGCGCTCACACTCCTCTGTGTGGTCATGCTCACTAAGGCTCCAACCCAACAGCACAAATTGATTTTATTGCTGTAGACAGAGAGAAAGAGAGAAAGACAGAAAGAGAGAAAAAGGCAACGCTTTGGTAAATACATAGCGCTTTATGATGAACATCTGGAAATCCCCTCTCACAGAGCAGCAGGGAGGGGAGGGAGAGAAAGCATCCCAGCTCTAATTGTGTGTGTTGGCTAGGGGGCTACATGATAGACAGGGCTTCTCGTGTCCCGGTCATTATTCCATTAAGAAGGAGCCGGGCTTCGAGGACTGGCCTCAGTGTTGTCGTTACAGGCGTTCACAGGAGACATACCTCAGCTGTCTCCAACACCCCAGAGACAAGCCGGGGGTCACAGAGAGGGAGCCTCAATCTTCACGCAGCTCCATGTGTTCCCTCTGTACCTGTTCCTTATTATCATTATCATTCCCCATAAAGTGAATCATGTTTAAATAGGTCATATGTGACAGCAGTTTATTTGGGATCTGCAGCAGACACTATTGTGTACTGCAGTACTGGGCATACTGTTGGACTGATCTGTAATCTTAAGAATGTGACCACAGACAAAAAAAGATTTAATCAAAAGATTTATGTAATTTATTAAATAAAAATATGAGCAGACCCCGTGCATTTTTATTAATCTTGCACATTGCGTTACCACTACGAATTCTACGAAAAGGCCTTTCTGCACAGACTGAACCTGCGACTTCTGTGCTCAGTACAGACCAACGGACCAGCCATGACGTGGAGCTGACACTGCTTACACTGCTTATGTTAAGCTTGGTCGCTTTTGTCCACTGACAATAAACTTTATTCAGACAAGATGACTGATTCCTAAAAATGTTGACAAAAAAAGGAAAAGAGGCATTCCTTTATGCAATTGTATTATGAACGGAAAGTAAGAAGAAAACAAGACACAATGGGTTGAAGATGCAGACAATCTGGTCTGTCTGCAGCAAAGCTTAATTTTATATCATAGTAACAGACTAAGCCACAAAATGTAATATACTACTCTAGTAATATTAAAACAAACTCAAAGTTTATGATGGATCTTTTGACAGCAGCCACGAGGAACTCTCATGGAACTGCTCAAACAAGAATTTCAGACCTGCCAGAAATCCAACAGATTGACTGAGAGATTGTTGATCATTCAGGCAATTAATTGTTGCTGTGCCCCCCCTCAAACTGCATCTGGCAGATATTGTTCCTTATTTTAAAATTAGTCAGGGGTGAACAATTTAGGGCTAAAATTGGGCTTAATTTCTACAGTTTTTGGCTTTAGTTGAGTTTCAGACTTCATTTTTGAAACCTAGAATAAGATCTTTTTTTTTTTTAATGTTTACAATAATGTGAATTGTGACCCTTATTTTCTGATATATATCGCCAGATCTTTGCAAAGACACAGTTTTAATGAGAATGTTTTCATGACATCTGGGAAAACTCCATCTTCTGATGCAGATCATGGGATATGATCCACAACAGCTACTAAATGGACCTTGAGGTGAGATTGCTTTGTCAATAGTACTTTAATTGCAATATCTGGATAAGTGATTGAGCAAATCTGAGCTGCTGCTGTTTGTTTTTCCAAGAAATATACAGTAGAAATATTACAACCGAGCCATGTGTTAAGATGCCAGCAGCTGCTCCTGTTCTGGCTTGTAGATCTGTGTGGGAGCCATTACGATGCAACCTTGAGCACTCAGGGACAGCGTGCATCAAAGTGCAGTTTTGCAGACTTTGATGTGGTAGGCATTTAACTACCTTCTCGAGCATCTTGCCTTTTCCTGGTTACATTCACTGAATGTTTTGATTTACAAAAAGTGGAGGTCACGGAGGTTTCACTTTCATCACTGCAGACGACATTCAGCAATGACAGAGTGAAATCCACTGTTGAAAAGAAAGATGTCAATTTCTGTACAAAAAGTACCCATAATAGGTTAGAAGGGATCACAGACACAAGGTTGTGTTTTTGTGTGGGTCAAAACTTTTTCTAAAAATCCTATTGTCATCACTAATGCCTCCACCTACGCTTATGAAAACCTAGAGCTGAATGCAACAAGTTCATTCTCTAAAATATATATCCAGAGTTTTTAGTTTCATAATCAGTCTAAAAATATACAGTGCAAATGGAAAGTACAAATGAAGAATAAAAATGTATTTCTCTGTGTTTTTACCTTTTTTCTCCCTCTGCATGCACATCTCTAAAGGATTTTTCTGCCTTTATTCTTCTATTTACCAACACATCTACGGTCATATGTGTGAATTTTTGCCTCCTCCTTTTTATCCTACTAATTCCTCTGGTTTTCATATCAAAATGCTTGCCCCATCCGCCTTTTAGAATAGAGTCATATCCATTCTGCTTTGCATGACACTAAGACATGATTTCCCTCGAGTTCCTTTAATCAGTGTCAAAACATAACATAAGTACGCCTGTGTCTTTCCTAACAAGCTCTGCCATTGTGAATCCTTGTTCACAGGACTAAAATAACATGAAAGAGGACTAATAAAATAGACTTCAATACTCCAGGGCCGGGCCTATATCTTATTACTGCTGAGTACTAAACAGTTAACATCTCATTTTGACAGCGCGAACGGGAGGAGAGAGAAAGAGATTGAGAAAACAGTGGAGAGAGTTGTCCGCTTTCAGTGATCTTCAACCATCAGCAGGACTAACACTGGAGGAAATCCTGAGCAAATAAAGTCTGCGTTCCTCTGTACAAAAACATGGTGGGAAGTATGCTGTTACAGCTAATACAAACTTGGATAGGAAAAACAGCGGAAGAGGTCCCTGCCACATCACACCTCCACTCCAGGCCAATTTAATTGACAAACTGACACTGATAATTCTCCAGAAAATTGGATGCCAAATATTTTAACTTTCAAGGTCTGACATTCTGACCCATAATTTAGAAAATAGCTCTGCTTTGTGTAACAATTAGCCGTCTTTCCTCCACAACCAGGTCAGGAAAGTCACAGGACAAAAAAAAGCTATGTCTGTCTCAAGCCATTACACTGCGAAAATATGCAAATATTTGACCTCAAGCTTGTTCCTGCTCGGTTATATGAGTTTGGCTTATTGTTTGGTCATATTTTTAAAAAAGCGGATGTATGACCTTAAATAAAGTGTTAAACAATAAGTTACATCACTCTAACAGAAGTTAGAGTAAAGTTAATATTGGAACTGCATGTAAAAATCATTAGTGATTTAAAATGTATGTGGAAAGATTAAATGAAAAATGATTCTTTACTTAAACTCCAGGCGCAGCTGAACTTTTTGAGCACAGCAGGAAGGAATATGAGCTCAAGTCTGAATGAATTAACAAAGGAATTAACTTGATTGCATTTTTCCAATTATGACGAGTAAATCCCATTGTTGGTACAGATCAATCATGGGAGAGGAGAACGGCTTAAAAAAACAGTTTAATTTAAAAATTTTTAATTTAAAAATCCCTTTAATCAAGTCTAATGAAAATTAAAATGAACAGTGTGCCTCACTGTCTTCAGTTTCTCTCTCCTCACTTTGCCTCAAAGTCCTTAACAGTCACTTTTCATCAAATGTTTCCACCGTTCAGTTCCTCTCCTCCCTCCTGCCATAAGTGTGTCATATGTCCAAGACGGAAAAAGGAGAGACAGAGATGAGTAATTAGCAATTAGTTCTGGGTCAAAGGTTGAATTCAAAATTAGTCAAAGAAATTTGGCAGGAGTTGGGACAGCAACCTGAAGTTTTATCAACACGAGTCAGATAGTTTGGCAGTCGTACAACGCTGACGAATGAGGCACGGAATGGCATGGAACCACTGAAAGTTGATATTGTGCCCGGCTTCGCACTTAGTTATATCAATTATTATCCATTTTACAAGTAAGATTGTTATTGTTGTTAATCCAAGGATGCAGGAGTTTATGACTCTGGTTGATTGCAGTCTGCAGATATATCTAACAAACTATCTTCTCCTGGGAATGATCGCAGGAAACAATCACATCACATTTATGCTCAGTGTTTCTTTTTCCCACTTTGTATCAGTAACCTCAGCTGGAAAGAATACAGCTTACAATTATGTGTTTATCTGCTGTATATTTGATCAAATGAAATGGGTGACAGCTATAAACATGAAGAGAATACCAATAACAAAATGTATTTAGTTTGTAGCAATATTGAAATTTTGATTTGTTAGTGCTTGTACAATGATATTATTATGCTGTGTTACATTGCCCAACTCTGATTCAAGTAAGGTCATGTCACTAGCAGTCAAAGAAATAAGTTTCAGATCAGGTTTTACAGGAATAAAATTATTTGAGTGTGAGAAATCCATTAATCAGTGTGTCCAGTGGTGCGTCAGGGCAAATCACTCTAAGAGCTCTGAGTATAGGGTATTTGTGTTTCTGGGTCTGTGCGGTTCAGCACCACTCTGATGGAGCGCAGCGCCTATCGAACACTCACCCAGGACTGGTTAAAGCTGTAGGTGTGCTGAAGGTCCTTGGGGTCCTCTTCCTGCTTGGCCTGCTGGAACTCATGCCTCAGCCTTTGTATCCGGTCGTGGTTACTGGGAGCCATGTCACTGCTGGGAGAGAGAGGAAGAGGAGGTGAGATAGTGGAACTAGAAACCAGATAGCAGTCTTAGTGGTTATTTGGAGGTAATTTTTCAACAAGCACATAGCTATGTTGTTACTGATGCCTTTTCATATTTTATAATTCACCCCTCTAGACTGTGTTGAGCATTCCTTCATCTAACAGTCTTGATTCCCTTTTGCATACCTGACTGACATCTCTAGGTGCTTTTTCTTTCCACCCTCCCTTCTTCCAGCCACCAATCTCCTGAGCATCCCTATAACTGAAAGTGTCCCTCGTGCACCATTGTGAGTGATGCATGTCCCTTTTAGACTGCAGGAGAATGTTGGCCTTTTATGGTACGCAGTCATTAAACACTGTGGAAAACCCTCATTTACATCCCCTTCATTAAGAGGCTTTGAGGGGCCTGTCAATAGGAATCAATAGCCTTGCCTCAGCTTAATCAGGCTCTCCTTTTATCACCAGCTACAGAGGCAGCACATGACAAAACGCATAATTATGATGAGACAACCGGCTTGATAATAAGCCTCCATTTATGCATACCACAGAGATGAAAGTGACCAAAGGTTAGGAATTTGTGCTGGGAGTGGATAGGAGCTTGGGGACGTAGGGAGTGGGATTGATAGGGTGAGGGAAGGAAAGGGAGATAAAGGTAGGGTGGTGCTGAGAGAAAAAGGGAAAGGTTAATCAAACGCATGTGAGAGAAGGAAGAGAAACTAAGTCAGCTAGGGCCTGTCACCCTGTCATTGTGTGTGTCCTCCTGAGTAGCACTTACAGGTGGCACACCAGCGGTGGAAGTGATTGCTTATTTGGGCCAAGAGGATTCTGGGCGCAATTATGGCGATAATTGCAGATTAGAATGAGCACATCCTTCTGATGATAATGGGCACTAGGACATGCTGCCAATCAAGCTTCATTAAAAGCACAATAAATAGCAGCTCATAAAGGATGAACGGGTCTCGGTGCATGCCCCTGAGTAGCACTTGGCGAGACACGGTTATCGTGTTATTCGTACTGCCTGATCAAAATCAATTGTATTAGTTATACTCCATTTGATTCCTATAGCTTTATGTGTGTGGGAGCGCGGGAGCGTACATTATGTCTTTTATGTGGATGTGGGCAATTAAGTGGATCACTAGGGTGTGAGCTGGCTTATGCTTTTAGGGAGTGGGGTGATGGCGAAGTCCTTCTATTACTGTTCATTACTAAATCAATGTTCATTTTATATTTACATGAGGTTAAACAGCATATGCAATGTTAATGAAATTTAATTTAATTTAAACCTAATTGTAGTCTATAAACAACAGAGCTACATAGACTATATGTGAAAATCTATGGCAACACTTAAAGGCTCATAAGAGATGGGATTCCCCCAAATTTTCTCTCTTTTATTGTAAGTTTCTATTACTTTTAACTACAAAAGTAGCACACGATTTATTAAACCATTATCAAACCATTATCAGCTTCAGAATGTGTTTCTGTATGATTACCAATGTACATCTTTTTGTTAATGCAAAAAAACCACTAATATACCAAAAGGATTTTAGATTTACCTAAAGATATATTCGAAGAAAATGTGTGTGCCTGAGCTAAATCGTACATAGCATGCAATTGAGAGGAAAAAATAAACACATATGCAATTTTGAATTAATTTTCCTCACATTTCCCTAATATATGCATGCTAATACATATGTTGAAATACAGTATATGTCATCATCCCTGCTCGAGAAATATGTTTGACAAGAATGTAATGGGTGGGAAAAGACCAAACATAGATCTGGGAAGTCCAATGCATGCAATTAGTTTAATCCCTGAGGCTGGTCAAAGAGAAGACCAGGCTGTCTCCAAACCAATAGCCTCGCAAAATTTTCTCCTTGACCCTACAGGGAGGGCCAGTGCTAGCATCAGCATCTCAAAACGTGCACCACTAGGCTAGAGGAACAAGAGGGGGCAGTGGGGGGCAGTGGGGACCAGCGGGGTCCACAAGCTAGGATATAAACTGGCAGCTTGAGTCCAATACACTTCCTACACAAAAAGACCTATTGCCCTTCTATTGCCCCACTGAGGTGTCAGTATACAGTATACTGTATATGACCAAATGTATGCTCTAGTGTGTGGTGGATGAAGTGGTGGGGTGTGGAATGGGGGAAGATCAGCGAAGACAAGATCTCCAGCAAATTAAAGAACTAGCAGCGAGGAACTTCAATATATTTTTCAAAGTGCTACAAATGGAAATTGTATCGCATAGGGGCTGGGAGTGGGGGTGGGATTTTACGAGGGGTGAATTTGTCATGGCAGTTCAAAGGAGGCCTGTGCAATATCTAGATTATCTGCAGGGGCTTCTCCTCTCGGTCCTCCACCCACCATGGGGGTACCGAGTTGATGGGATTCTTGAAAAGCAATCCATGAAATATTCCAATGTAAATATATCCATATGGTAGGAAAAAAGAGCCGGGAAGCTCAGCACCGAGGAAGAACGGGAATCAAAGAGGCACTAGAAGCTGCCCACTATCACTGTAGCAGCCGGTAGCAGGCCTGTCTCCATATATAAAGAAGATGGATTCAGCCGCCTTCTCTGAGAGCTCCCCAATGCTTGGGCACCTCATTGTGTAATTAGTCCGCATGATTGTTGCTGATGCATCAGGTGTCACCGCTTATAAATTCCCCTGTGAATACATCAACGTCTGTAATGGGCCTGAAGAACAAGTGCTGAAAGAAAAGATTGGGGGAAAACTGGTGGCAATTTACGTCAGCCGACCACCTCAGCAATTAGGATAAATGTGTCACCCCAGCCAGCAATAGACGTGTATGAGGGAATATGAATGAGCGCGGCTCATCAGTTTGCTGTAAGCCATGTGTTTGTGCATAAGGGAAAAAGGTCACAGGTTGTGTAAGTGTACTCAGGGGTACAGGCAGGCTGTCTGCATCATGATCGCACGAGCTTGCAGTGCTTAGTCCCAGTGCTGTTTTTTTTCCCAAAGCCCTCTTTTCAAACGTGAGTCAATGGAAAATGGGATGCCGCCCGTAAAGTAATTAAAAAACATGGGAGAGATAAAGTATCCATATGCCATAGCATTTCCTCAGCCAGCATCTTCATTCTGTCCTGTATAATGAGATTTGCTCAAAATTCATCCATGTGTTCGCAGACTGAAATGTCAGCACTTGGCCTCTCAGGTTGGCCATGTCGCTCCCAAACACACGCAAACATATCCATGGAACACAAACGGCAACACGTAGATGTAGAAAGAGACACAAAGAAGCCGACACACACTCTATCTCCCTTTAGCTGTCTCTCTTCTCCTCACTTTATAGACACTTGTATTCAGTAAAGTCACACCGCTGCTGTATTTATAGCTTGGCTGAAAGCTTATTCTCAAGGCTTATTGGGAGAGGTAAACTTGTGAATTCACAGGCACGCTGAGTCAGGTCGAATAACAAGGATTCAGCTGCGTCTGAACAACAACAGACCATCTACTCATCTCATTCTCCTCCTGCTGCTCCTACTCATCCTCTCCATTATTAAGACAGGATAATAAAAAGTAAAATGTTAAGTAAAAAAAAATTCAAGAAACAACAAAAAATGAGCCCAAAGCTTTTTGAACTTTTGATGAATATAACTTTGTGAGTAAATCCCATTTTCAGGTTTTATTTATGACAAACTGTGAGGAACCAGTGGTGTGCATGTGTCTCTTTCTGACCCCCATTCCCACCTGTGTTTTTTAACCTGACCCGTTGACAGGGGTCATGGGCCCTCTAAAGCTGCAGTTGGGGGTATGTGGACGCCTGTCTGTGTAATAGTCATCCTTTGATCCAGGAGGATTTGGCAGATGTCTCACACACCACAAGGCTTAGGCCGAGGATGCAAACTATGGCACACTATCGCTTCTGTTGGTGGATCAAAGCCGTGCTGAGTCTCGGCATGCCCTATAAACACTGCCACTGGCCAATAAAGGAGTAATCCAATCACTGAGAGTGTAACATGGGTCATATGAGCATACCTAAGGTCAGGGGCTAGTCCCAGCCAATCAGAATAAGAGCTACGGAGTGTTATAATCCTGGGGATAAAATTTCAAGGGAAGTTTGACAGGAGTTCTGAGAGTTGTCACAGACTTGTTCATTTCCAAGTAAAGTGGAAAAGGCTGAACTGTTGGGGCTTCGGTGTGACTTCAAAATCAGACGGTCTGTTATTTCTTATCTGATCACTACTGATTGAAATTCTATCAGATTATCTGGTTTCTTGCTCTGGCCCCAGTATCTCCATGCAGCAGATGAGGGGGCAGGCTTCTTAAGTTTGGGCCCTTTGGCAATCTTGCATCAAGTCAAAGGCTTAGCTCATCTTTATTCCATCGCCCTGTGGACTTTCATTTATTTCAAAGACAGAAAGATGAGGCATTTTTGGGGAGATGGACAGCCTTTGGGACCTACCGCAATGATAGAAAAAGATTAGATCTGCATTACCGCTGGTCATTTTTGAAGGGGAGTGGGACAAAGATAAAACATTTTTTTAGAGTCTTCAGAGAAAATCAGCATATATCGGCCAATCTGCCATGATTCTTGCAATCAAACGAAAGCATTTGAAGCATATAGCGCTCTCCCAGCATTTCTTCCCCACTCCACTTTACTCTCTTTCCGTCTTCATAAAAATATCTTCCATTTTTTTCTCTTGCCTCATCTCTCTCCTTTATTTCTTTCTTCTTCTTCCCACATGTTTTATCTCTGAATGCCTCAATCCTCCTCTGTGGTTACAGGGATAGGTCATGAATTCCCTTCTGTCCCCCTCATCCTCTCCCACTAGCCTGGTAAGTGACAGCTGCAAGCTGGACAAAGGCCTGATAATACCCTGGATTTGTCAGGCTCTGACTTCACCCATGTCCCCCTGTGACTGATGCACTGACAGTGGCACCGTGCCAGCTGAAAAGCCCACTTTGTGATGGGGGCTGTTGCTGTTGTTGTGCTGGGTGTGAATGTGTGTGTATGTGTAACCATGGTTCC